GATGCCACGCGGCGTCATAGTCGGCCAGCATTCATGCATCTGTTGGCAGTAACAAATCACTCATCGAGGCCGATCGTACCCCTCTCTTCTCGCCCTCAGCCATCCAGGGACCACTTGTGGCTCAGCTGTGAAGCACATGCAGGGTCCTTGAGCTCATTCTTGCGCCACTTTACGCACCAGACCGCTGACATCTTGATCTGAGTGGCTCATACTTCGTGTCGGCACGTTTGAAAGTATATTGACGAACCTGTTGTGGTATAGACGCGTGCGTAATGGGCCAGGATGTGGACGTCAGATCAACGGGACGCTCGGCACAGTCAAACAAGCTTCCTTGGTAAAGCTTAGCCTCGCATGACGGAGCGTCTAGGCTCGCGAGCTGAGGGGCTGCGCCTGCAAGAGGTTCCAAATACTCATTGGACAGTACCACAGAATGCGAAACGAAAGTTGAGTTCTCTTGCCAATACTGTAGCCTGGCCTCAGGTAGGATACCTAGGTAGTTGGGGTTGTTGCTTATTCCGTGGTAGAAAGCTTGGCTAGTTAGCGCGCGATCATCTCCCGAGTCTCAGGTGCTCCAACTCCACCATGTACTCAGCCACAACCCCATCTTCGCGACAACATGCCGGGCCGACTCCCCACGAAAGCTGACTTTCCATCGTCGGTGACCTTGAGCATCACGCCACGTATGTCGCAATCTCCAGAGTCGCTCTTACGCTCGCTAACTCGTCCAGCGCCGGCTTCGCAATCACCCACGAACATCTTGATCCTCCTACACGGCCTCGGCGACACGAATGCGTCCTTCACGAAACTCGGGGAGCAACTGAACCTCCCAGAAACAGCATGTATCGCGATACAAGCGCCGAACCCACTGCCGTTCGATCTCGGTGGAATGCACTGGGGTGAAGACATGATCTTTGACTCCACTACAGGCGAGATGGACATGGATACCGGCGTCCAGAAGTCCACACTTCTGGTCCTAGATCAAGTCATTCGCGAAGGTCTCATCGGCAAATGCGGCTACAAAGCACGCGAGATCATGATCTTTGGGTTCGCGCAAGGCGGCATGGTCGCATTGCAGGCTGCTGCCCAGCTTGAGGAAGAATTAGGCGGGGTGATCAGTATCGGAGGGCCTCTATCACAATCATTGCCGCTGAAGGCTTTGGAGAAGAAGAGCAAGACACCAGTGCTGATCTGTAAGGCAGACAAGAAGTCTGCAGTCACCGACAGTGCGACTATGAAGCTGAAGGATGCTTTCCAATATATCGAGTTCAAAGAGTGGAAGAAGAACGGCGATGGCATGCCGAGCAGCCGCGACGAGATGCTGCCCATCATGCAGTTCTTTGCTCGTCGGCTACGGAGTACTAGAGGTGTCCCGGCAGGTAGCGTCGAGATCGGATAGGCAGTCAGGGAAGATATCGCGAGATGTATGGTCGAGGTCAGTCAAAGCCTCCATGGGCCACTACGCGCATGCGGCGCCTTTCCAAGTGCTGGGTAGGTAGCAAAGCAAGGACACCAAAGAATACAATCGGCTCCCCAATCATCACGCGATCTGGACATGAAAAATCTCACACCCACAAACAATCAACGTCGCTTGCCCACCACATTCCCGTCATCGCGCCTTCCTGCCCTCGTGATGCACGTGGCATGGTCCGAGCGCCTTGTACGTCACTTTCATTCTTGAACACAATTCGCTCGTCCACTTCCACCCTCCCGAAACCTACACACGTCTCACCGCTAAACACAGCCATGGCGGTGCCGAGGAATTCTTTGCGAGCTTTTCTTACACACGCGAGAGGCGCTCTCCGGAGCGCCATTGAAACTAGTCAGAAGATTACATTCGTCATTGGCAATGAGTCTGCGGGTGAGCATGACTCCTGCTCCACAATAGCGCTGCATACTCATGAAATGCAGACCTTGATTCGATGTCATGTTCCATTTTGTACGCATACCTCCGGTCCATGTCGCCGCCCAAGAATGCCTTTAGCCCACTTTACGTACCAATCACAAATATTCCTGCTGCCGATATTCAGCTACGACCGGAATACTTGGCCGTGTTCAAGCACGCCAATATTGACTCAAATCACTTGATCACGTTGGATGACCTTCCCGCCTTGTCAGACATACAGTCGAAGCTCGCACCTGAGAATACCAAATGGATCTTGGTAGACCACAATGCGCTGCAGGGCCAATTGGGCAAAATCTATGCAGAGCGTGTCGCTGGTGTCATTGATCATCATGACGACGAGAAAAAAGTACCGGAAGACACAGGCGACGAACCGAGGATAATCGAGAAGTGTGGCAGCTGTACTAGCTTGGTTGCAAACTACTGCCAGCCATCATGGGACATGGCTTCCGCGTCTGCCTTGTCTTCGGGGGCAGCCCATGCGCAGGGTGACAGCATGTCCAACGACGCTGCCTTTGTCAAGCGCTGGGATGCAGACGTCGCCCAGTTGGGACTGGCCAGCATTCTCATCGATACGGCCGATCTCCACGACGAGAACAAAACGACCGAGCATGACCGTAAGGCTGTCGAGTACCTGGAAGCTAAGATCGTGCTCTGTCCCCCGCTGGCTGCAAGCTTCGACCGCGCCAGCTTCTACAAGGAGATCAACGCAGCAAAGAAGGACATTGGAAGTCTAAAGCTGCACGACATACTTCGGAAGGATTATAAGCAATGGGACCAGGGTGGCCGAAAGCTCGGTGTTAGTTCTGTTGTCAAGCCTATAGAGTTTCTCCAGAAGAAAGCCGGCGACGAAGCAAGTGCTCAGGCATCCGACGCCTTCCTCAAAGCGTTGGAGGACTTTGCAAGGGAGCGTGAATTGGACATGTATTCCCTGATGACCACGTCGTCGGGTGCAGATGGGCAATTCCAGAGAGAACTGTTACTATGGGCCTTCAACGACGGCGCCGTGTCGGCTGCCAAAACATTTGCCACGAATTCAAAAGATGAGTTGGGATTGGAGGACTGGCAGGGCTTCGACGACATTGACAGCAAGAGCGAGTGGAGAAAGACTTGGTGGCAGCGACAAGTGCAGCACAGTCGGAAACGTGTCGCTCCTCTACTCAGGGAAGCCATGCCTTGACTATGGGTTCTGGGCAAGCTGTGATGGAGTCGCGGAGGCAGCGATCGGGTACAATGGTGCCGGTAGAGCGCTACGCTGGCGCGTTGGTGTCGAATTAGCGGGGATCGCCACGATTTCGCATGTCTTGCATTGTAGATAGGCGCTTAGCAGCGATTGGGCAGGGCAGCCGTCAGCCCAAATGCCGTTGGGTAGAGTACGTGGAATGGCCATGGGTACCTGAAGAAGGAGCGGTCTGTATGCGGCAATCGTGTGGCGGGGTATTACACGCGACCGGCAGATGGTCGACGATCTCCGATAGCCAGCTGGAAACGAAACATGTTCAATGTAACATTTCAACGCCCACGCAGGATATTCTTATCTCGTAATATTACGATCGCGATTGAGTTGCCATGCACCAGGATATAGCGGCAGACGCACTGCGACTGCAAACATGCAAAAGAAACGAAGCTCCGCAGCGACTGCAGCGATAGCCCCAAGCAGGAGATGCTGCAGAGAGTTTAGTATGTGGTGTGACGGTGCGGCTCATTGGATGGCGACTGGATATGCATGGCGGAGTGATGAATGATGTCGAGGATTGCGAGGCACTAGGCATGCACTGGGAGATGAATGGGAAAACATGGGTTCACAGCGGTGCAGCGCGATGCTTTGGCGTGCAGCATGTTGCATGGCTTGGTCCTTTTTGACAGCCATGCGCTGGCAGCGCAGGGGAAGAGGGCGACTCCACTCGCCGGCCGTCACGTCAGGAGGGCGAGCAGAGCTGCGCGCAGGCGATTAGCTGAGGGGCGTCGTCTGTATTGGCGCTGCAGCTGCAGCGGCGGAGCGTGTTTGAGAGTTTACGAGTTGCTCTGCTGGTGAGGGCAGCGTGCCGTGGTGAAGGGAGGAGGGGTAGCGTTGAGGGGCGGTCGCAGAGGCGGCCAGCGATACCGCCTAGTCTCTCTATGGCGACATCAACACGGCCAGCACCAACGGCGGGAGAGCGTCGCCGAAGCTTCTACCAGAGCGACGACGGTGCCGATCGAAAGCGTGCGTTGTCGACGAGTCTCTGTGCGAGGCGGGGATGGCTGGTGTGGGAAGGCGAGGGTCTGAGCTGAGGCATTCGGCGGGCTGGTCCTCATTCGTCCCACTGCGATGTGCTGTTCCTGCAAGTCATCGCCTGGACGGCTCCATGGCGACATGGAGGTCGTGGGCAGGTCTGGCGGTCTGGCACGGCCACCAATCTGAAGCAGCTCCCCCGCTGTATTTCGCACACGGTATGCTCTCTAGGCGGCTGGCGGCTTAGCAGTAGTATGGGATTAGTCGGGGGCCGTTGAGCTGCAGTCGTGACTTGTTACAGGGACTCGAGGACGAGGCCCAATCACGCTTCTTTTGCCTCGCTTCTGTATCATTACCACCTAAAGAGTCAAGACGCGCCAGCGCATACGTCGAGCGCGGTGGAGAGGGCGCGCCCAAAGCAGTTCTTCTTCTCCCAAGACTACCGCCCCATCTGGCAATGCCGTAGGGGATCTCTGCCACCTTCTTGAGGTCCGCACCTTCCGTAGGGCTTCCATGGGGCTCTCTCATGGCGACATGATGCGACGAACCCAACTCACAGCCTCGCCGGCGCAGGCTGGCAACACTCCGCGTAGGTGCCCATCTCCCTCCCCGTGCTCTGCTATCCCCCCCGAGCGCGAGCGCGTCTCCGGCCAATAGCTGGCGCGGGCATCAATGCGCTGCTCTGTGCATGTACGATGAGCTGGCAGGCGAGCCGACGCTGACTTTCTCGTAGCCGTGTCGCCCACCGTCACCCATGTGTCGTCCAGATGCCACACGCCCTCGCACACTACTTCTCAAGTCGACGACCCGCCTGCTGAGGCTCCGCCTAGGTCTCACAGCCCGCCCAGGTCGCCCTCACCTCGCGCTCCCAAACCACCACCGGCCACCATGGGCAGCCGACCTGGCGGAACTCCAGACGTCCACGCCGACCGCCATGGCCTCCAGCAACTCCAGCGCCCCCAGATACCCGCCTCCATGTCTGCCCCCGCCGGCCGCCTGCCGCGCCTGCTGCCCGCGGACCTCTCCTCCTACACCGACTCGTACCTGCCGACTGCAGCCATCCCACCGTCCGCGACTTCCCTCGCCGAGCTCGCCCACCTGATCCGCCTCCAGGGCTACCAGGAGCAGCGCAAGACGCATGCCCGCGTGCGCCTGCACCGCTGGCTGGTCTCGAGCGCCCTCTCCGCACGTCTGGTACACTGCGGCGAGCTGGCCTACCGCACGCTGGTCGATAACTTCCGCTCCGACGACAAGAAGTCGTTCGCCTCCCTCTACAACGCCCTCAACGATGTCCGCAACTCGTGCGATGCCACACGGCAATATGCCCTCCTGGAGCCGGATCTGGAGTTTGGCAAGTCCAAGAACTTCCGGAGCGAGAAGCCCCTCTCTGCCTCCACTTTCCTCAATGAAGTCCCGTCCAAGATTCTGGACAACCTTCTCGATTTCATTTCCGAAATCCGTACGAACCCAGAATTTCTTGCTGCTCGTATTTCCAGTCTTTCGCAGCAAGAGCTCACTTCTCTTACGTCTTTCCGTCAGACCATGGACCCGATTGACTCGGTCATGTTTGCAAACGCCCGTAGCCGTACCGCTCCCTCGCAGAAGGCCCAACAGCAAGGAACAAGCCCGGTAGAACGTCTGCTATCTTTCCAGCGTCACGATCCGCTGTCTGCCCTCGTCTACACCATCTTCGCTAATTCGTCCGGACCCGACTCGGCAGAGGACCTTCGCCGCACAGATGTATGGGCCACTGTTTGTGCCAAGCTGATCAAGAACAACAACCCCAACTTCATCCGCACTGTGCTCGATGTCTGGGCCGGCATGCGAGAATGGCCTGGAAAGACCAACTTGGAGCTTTATCTTATGCAGACCCTCCAGGATGGCCAGTTCTTGCTCGAGAAGCCCGAGGAGCAGGCCGCACGACCCGGAATGCAAGCGACCCCGCGCTCCAGTAAGGACACCATCGCAGCAGACGAGTTCTTTGACAAGGCTGTCAAGCGTCTGTTCGAGGTCGTTGACGATGAGCCCAGTGCCGGCGGTATCCCAGAAGGAGTCCTGGAGATTGGAAATGCCATCCTTCGCAAGCTGGAGGACGAGAAGAGCCTGCGCAGGGCTTCGCAAAATTTCTTTGTCTCGCGTTGGCTCTTCTCTACCTTCCTCATGAACGCCATCATTCATCCCGAGGCATGTCTACCCTTTCTGACGCAAGCATTGCGAAACTAACACCTAACAGACCCATGGCATCATGATTGGCCACCACATCAGTGAGCATGCTCGCATCAAGATTCTGAAAGAGGTCGCCATACGAGCGCAGAAATATGTCGTGAACATGACCTACAACTGGTATGGCGCTGTACTGGAGTGCCCTTGGGCCATCAGCTAACAGAATTGTAGGAAGCAGAAGAACGAAATCCTCCCAGAGATCCGCACACACATCGAGAACATCCTGGCCCGGTTCAAGCACACCAAGACACCCTCGAAGCCAATTTTGCTTCCTGCAAAGGCTATAACATCACCCAGAGAAACTGTGGAAGTTCAGCCATTCATTGTCTTGTCACCAGCCGACATTGTCACCCTGGTCAACGCTCTATTCCCGGAGCGACGTCCGTCGTCCAGCCACATGGACAATGACAGCCAACGCCGTACCGGTCTGGCTTCCTCTGCTTCTTCCATGTCCGGAATGTCGGTTCCATTCCGCAATGCTGCCGCTTCCGTGACTGACGCAAGCTCTATCCTGAGTGCCAGTGCTTCTTCAATGACCAGTGACCAGACCTCGCGCGAGCCACTTCTGGACAGCAACCCGGTATCCGGCGAATCACCGACAGAGATGAAGCCTGCACCAACAGAGCAATACGGAAGACAGCTGCGAATGGCATGTTCTGAGATGACTCGCCTCCTAGGTTTCGAAGCCACATCAGGCTCTTGCCATCCGTGCGCAGAGCGATGGGCTGTTCTTTACATCTCCGCCGATGGAAAGCAGCTGAAGCCGCGTATGCGCAAAGACTTTGATGATGAGGATGAGCACGACGAGGACTCACCAGACAGCGACAGCAGCGACGACGAAGAGGGCGGGAACAGGTTCGATCTTGGCAACGACTACCACCAGCTGAAAGAGGCAATCGCCAAGCTGGTGGAGGAGTACGAGATTCCCAAGGATCTTGCGCCCGACAGCGAATCGAAGAACTTCAGCAACAGAATGACGACCCGCAAAAGCACTCGTGGACGTGGCCCAGTACGCAACGTCAGCGAAAACCTCGGATCACGCAACCCATACAACTCCACTCAGAGCCAAAGCCAGCTTACCAACATGATTGCCAGCCAAAGAAACGTCTCGTCACGGCGCTCACCACAATTTCCGAGAAGTCACAGCAACCCTCAAGTCGGCGAGAAGCAAGAGAACAACTCAGTTCTGGTCACCATGCTTGAGACTGCCATGTACCAGTGTCAAGCACGATCCGATTTCGTCAATGCGCATATGTACTACAAGACATTGCAGAGTCTGAAAAGACTCAGCTCTCCGACATTGGTCAAGAACGGCTACGCAGCCCTTCTCAACTACTTCTCCCGCAGCCCGCGCGACCTCCTCAGCAAGGCAGCCAATGCCATTGAAGAGTTCGAGGCCTGGTTCGTGTGGCTCAAGCAGTCCCAGGAGCGGTCAGATGGTATGGTCGAAGAGATGATGCTCACGTTCAAGAATCTTCGAGACAAGATGTGGTACATCACAGATGTCCGCACTTCCAAGCCATACGAGGACGCCAAGAACGTTGCGCTTGCTCTTAAGATCATGGACCAACAGTCAAAGATGCTTAATGTCAGAGGCCCGTCCGGTTCTCAGCCGCGAAACAGCAACAGCTTCTTACGCCAGAACGAAGCTCAGTTGGTCGACCTCATGTCAGCTTCTCAAGATTTCGGTGGCCCGAATAAGCTGTCAGACGAGCAGTCACAAATCACCCTGAAGTGGCTTATGCAATACAGCGTGGAGAACTTCTGCAAAGGCGAAGAGCGGATACATCGCTTCTGTCTCGAAGTCGACAAGTGCGTCACCAAGGTCATTGGCGAGGGCGTTCTCGACGGGCCCGTGCTCTGGGCCAGCGACCTCTACAAACGCGACCAGCAGATCCTGGAGAGCGGACGTCAGAAGGGCGACCTGTTCCTGACCGGTGTTGGCACTCTTTCCATCGCCGGTGACGAGGAGTACGAGACCCATGGCCGACCTGGTTCTCGTAGCCATGACTTCTCGCAACGACCAAGCCAAGGTAGTCTGCGTGCCGCAGCTAACCGCAATGGATCTTCCAGTTTCGACCAGAGCCCCTGGGGAAGAAACCCCATGGATGCCCCTGACTACTTCGGCGGGTCTTCACCCGTCCATGCAATCGACTCTATGGCTACTTTCTGGTCACCGTTCCAGACCCAAGCGCAGTCTCCTACCAACGCCACAAGCATCCGACCACGTACCGCATCATCGTCGAAGGGTACCGTGATGCTGAAGCAATCTGCAATGGTCAACGAAGACAAGCGCCGCTTCATGCTCGATCTGAAGCAAACACTCACGGGCCTGCTTCTGAGTGACCTCGGAACAATGGTCTTCGCCAACGGCAGCGAAACCGACTCATGGTTCGGTGGCGATTTGCTAGATGACTGCTTCGAGCGTAGAGATGAAGAAGAACGGAAACGCAAGAAGCAGCTCGCTAAGAAGAGCATGAAGAACATCCGGAAGCAGACCCTGCCCGATTCACGCAACTTGCCGCTGGATACGCTCGGCCGCAACGAGCGTGGAACAGCGGCCCCGCCTGTTGCAACTTTCCAACACGCCAGTGCATCCGACGCTCACCAATCTGCCGGCGAGCAATCTTCGACTTCCAGCGACGCGACTTCGCGTTCGGTTGGCAATGCCACAGCGAAGAAGGCTGGGCTACTCGAGTTCCCGTACAACGTTGCTTTCCGACGGCTGTTGGGCAGGTTCCAGACACATCCCAACCCATACTCTAAACTGCATGCTCTGTATGAGCTAGAGCTGCTCATCATAGCATCACTGTCTTCTCGAACGGGCCGCTCGTACAACAACCGCCGGGAGACTCTTCCCCCAGTTCCTCAATCACCCACCCTTGGCACCATGCCAGAGCTCAGTTCTCGTGAGCCGGCTACTCAGACTTCTCGTGCACAAAACCTCGAGGAAGCCATCGCCAACTGCGAGGAGCGCCGCTCTCACAGCATGAGCGTGGAACGCGTGAGCAACGCTTCTCCCCTGCCTCGCAACGGTGCACGCTCTCCAGTTGGACCACCAAGCACAGACATGATCGTTGAAGTCATCCAAGGCCTCTTCCGCGACGCTAACATTCGACCCAAGACCCTGTTCCGAGACCTGCAGTACATCGCATCTTTCGTGCCTGCGCAAATGCTGGACAAGACTGCACGAGGCAAGGCATTCTGGGATGTCGGCCTCGCTGCTCTTGGCCTCAAGCAAGACGTGTGCCGAATCATGGTAGAGCTCGTCGATGAGGTCATCACCCAGAACTCGAAGCGCGATGCAGGCAAAGTCAGCAGTGGAGCTGCTGTCGAGAAGGCTGGTGGTGCATCGTCTACTACACCAGCTCCGGTTGATGAACCGCTATCCAAGTACACCATGGAGGATGCCGGACGCATGCTTCTTATCACTGCCAAGGAGGGCGACGCAGTGGCCGAGCGTGAGCTTGCGATCTTTTACCTCACATCGCCTGAGCTTGTTCATCGCACAGTCCTGCCGCTCACCAGGCCCAGCGAGGTTTTCAAGACTGAGCTTCTCAACCGTGAGAGGAAGGCGTCGCAAGACCCCGCCCGCAGCGACCCAATGACTATGTGTGTCGCGCAACACTGGATGGAGCAGTCCATGAAGGGCGGCGACCAGCTTGCCGCCAAGTACTTGCGCCAGCGCAGCGAGCTGGAGAACATCAACCCGAGCAGGGCATAGTATGTCTTTTTCCGCATTTGGTGTTCGACTCTGCATTGATACCCCCGACCCGTCGACCTATTCTTCATTACCAGCGATACTGCCCGAACCTTTATTCATGCATTTCCGCCATGCGCACAACATCTTTACGGCCTATATACAACCATGACGGCCGGTCAAGCATAGCGAGGAGTTTCCCCATTTTATGTCTTTCACATTACCATCAAGGTTTTCGACTTTAAGCAAGCATGATTCCCCCTGTCGCCTTGATCTTCTTCTATTCGCGTTCTAGTTTATGTCTTCTTCATCTTATAACTTTACTCTTTTTGTTCAAACCCGGCGCAACATGAAGGCTTCGACGATATATGACGCTTGTAGATCCACAGGAAAGGGTACAACGGATGGGGATACCAAATATACCAGGGCTCTTCTTCGGGAACACATGGAGCTTGCGCATGGCCAGTGCTCCAGTACTTGTCTTCCTCGGATTGTTTTCCACCGATGGCTTTCTATATGCATGAGAATAGGCTTCTTCAAGGATACGACAACGAATCTCCTTGGACATGAACAATATCCTTTTTGGGCTGGTATCTGACGTTTACATACCATATAGCGTAGATTTCTCTAGCTCTGCTGGGTAGTAACGGCATTGGAATGGATAAATTGTGCAAAAGTAATGGACTGTGTGAGTTATTTGAAGTAATCATGATAGAGCGAATGTGATGGCATGCAAGATGGTAAGTCAGCCACTTTGTAAAGTGCATATGCGCAGAAGGATGGAATACATTGACTATCCTACATCAACCGAACCTCGCCACTACAACAAGCCCAATCCCGTTATCAATATCTCAACCTCCTCGATACTAGTACCTCACTCAAGACATCAACTCTTCAAAAACATCCATCCACGAACCACCGGAAGCTGGCCTCGGCGAATCTTCTGGGCTATCCTCCGCACGCGCCTGATGCGCATTTGTTCCACACATACGGTGCGCCGGGTCGTCGACAACAGCACCGTGGCTTGGAGATATACCAGTCACCCTCGGGCGCATGGGCAGACGAGTAGGCTCTTGGAAAGACACACTGCGATGAGCACTTGGTTCGGCGCCGAAGACTTTGCGACGCGCATCTGCAGAGATGAAGTGGGCGGTCTTGGGTGCGGGGGTAGACTTGTGAGCGAGAGTGGACTCCTTGGAAGGCTTCACGTCGGAGAGCGGGAATAGAGGTCGGAATCCGGGTGCGTCCTGCCCGCGCAGATCAATTGTTACTACCTTGTTATAGGCCTTCCGTGGATCTTTGGCATGCCAAGTAGGGGGCGTGCCGGAAACTTGGTGGTAATTATCGGCTAGATTTTGGGACTCATTCCATAGGCTTTGAAGCTCTTCGATCAGCCTCTGGTCGTTGGCAGCTTGGTTTCGTGCTTCGTGTGTAAGTTCCCGGCCGTAGAAGCGGAAGGGGTCGAGCTCGGCGGCGACGGTCTGCTTAGGTGGTGATGCTACGCGTTTGAAGGTTAATTTCTGCTCTTGGATGGGCTTCTTTTCTTGTTTGACGGGGTTCTTGTGAAGGAAAACAATGGGTTGTGGTCCTTGGTCTTCTTGGCGAATGATTATATTACGGCTTGGAGGATTAGCTGCGATGGTTTGGATCTGAGCAGGTTGTAGGTCTGCTTGTTGGACATGCACATGACGGATTCGATGGTCAGCCGGAGACGCGTGAATTTGGACAGGTTCCTTCTTAGCCTGCGAAGCTCGCTCAGGGAGAAATTTCGCATTCGGTCCAGGTACCATGCGCAACCCAGTGGAGCTATCGCCTTCCAACTGTATGATATTCTTACTGAGCAACTTCGCTTCGATGTCGGTAAGGGTATCCAGGAATGCCAGACAATCGTCCATGTTTGCAAAGTCAGCTCCACCTACGGAGACGGGTCCGTCGGACTGGGTTGCCACACGGAACCGGCCGAAGCGGTGATGTTGAGGTTGCTCGAGCGGAGAACCGGGAGGAGGCATGTGAGATACGCGAGTAGCAGGGTCTGTGGGAGCGGACTCATGATGGTCTTCGGCATGAGCTTGTGCGTGCAGCTCAGCAGAATCGTTGATATATTCGACATAACGGGAGACCAACTCCTCACCTCCCTCAAAAGCGATAACATCCCACACCCACTGGAAGTCAACTGGCATGCCGAATTCATCAAATATCGGAAAGCCATGACCAGACTCCCACGCGTACATCTCCAAGTCGTCGAGGTACTGGGAGCCTTGGAGCCAGTCGCTGATGAGACTTCGCACTTCGAGGTTATTCTGGTGAGTGGGACCGCTTGGTCCTTCTGAGGGGTGTGGTGGAGTCCGCTCTAGGTATGCAGCAAGCGCTTCGAGATCTTGGGGCGGCATGGGTTGTTGGGTGTCCAAGTGGATTGGTAGTGTGAAGTAGAGCTCGGAACCGCTTGGAAGACGCACACGGTGCGCATCGGGGTGCATGATGAACTCGGCGCAGCGCCTATCGCTAGCATGTAAGAAGGAAGGCATGTTCTGGAAATTTGATGGTGAGATGCACTTGATAGATAGTGCTCTTGTTAATTTGCTGGTGTTTTGATGATGCGAGGGTTTAGTGGATATGGTAGAGTAGGGGAGGAAAAGAGGACTTATATACCTACCATATGTGACAGTTCACCTCTGTGAAGTTTGCACTCTTGAAGCCAGGTAGCGTGTATGTTGGACCATGGTGTTTGAACCCAGCGCACCAAACCGTGGAAGATGTACTTCGATCACTCGTGGGGCTCTGTGCTGGCATGACAGATATCATAGACATAACTAGATATTGAAACATGAGTATTATCAGCTGTATATCCAGCGTAGATGCGAGTGTTTTCGTTGAACACAGTAATTTTGCCTTGGGTTGGATATGATTGCGGACTATGTGAATGGCTCATTGGCTCTACGTTCAGTATCTACCTGCGCGATTTCGCTTTCCTACTCTGCCATATGCGCTCTTTCAGCGTCTTCGCTGTCTATGCCCTCGACTATACACCCTTTGATAGCAGGCAAGCGTGACAATTGCGTAGCGACGGGCTAGAATCAGTGTTGATGTCGATTACCGTTAGAACCATGCGACTTGATGGCAATCATACCATGTATCATAACGTCCCAGTGTTTGTTGCTGCACTTAGGAGATGGTCAGAAGCAAAACAACAACCACAGGATTCCATGATGGAATCCCTCATTCGAGCAATATGGACAACGCGGCGTATTGAGTAAGTGCTACTGATAGGCGCGGTCCTAGGTTGCCAAACCGCCATCGCTACGATGTTTCCAAACTTGGCTGAGAATAAGTGCTGGCATACGTGAAGAGCTCAAGTAAGATGCACATTGAGGAAAATGTTGAGCGAAACAATAGCGATTGCGATTTAGGAAAGAATTGTTCCGAGGTCTGGGGCGATGATTCCTCAGAAGCGCGCGGGCGATAAGATGCACTCATGGCTGAGTCCGGTACTGGATCGATGCGCAAAGACGTGCGGCAGATATGAGTCGGGTGATGATGTCACGGACGGTGCAATTCAAACGATGATGAGGAGATGGAACGAGGAGTGCCGAAGGGAGAAGCAGAGACCAATGATGATTACTAAGCGGCGCCAGATCCGCTAGCCTCGGGCTTCGGAACCATCCAACAACACCAGCACCTGCCATGGAAAGAACTCCAACACGTAGCCGCGAAAGCGAAGTCGACACCATACCGCGTCTCTCGATTAAGGTACTAGCAATATACATGCATTTAGGTTCATTCGTCTCACAATGATTCAAAGCTCTTACACGAGCGTGAAGTTCAGGTTCTTTCACTACCCCCCAACAGCGCGTCCAACCAACGTGAGCGCAGTGACTTCGTCTCCTTCATGAACCCCAGCCGAGTCCCCAAAAGCTTGCGATCTGGGTCAATATTCCCCTGCATCTCGGTATCCGACGCGCGACGTGCAGCTATGTGCATCTCGCGGTCTTTCCGGAAAGTCATTGCGGGCGTTGGCTCGGGGTGATGTGAATGCTGTGTTGACAACTTCGTCTGGAAAGACTCTTTGCGAGGGGAAGAGAGCCATATCTGGTGGGCCTCGACGTCGCGGTAACGTTGCCATGCTGCTCGGGCGCTGGTGTCGGATGGTGTGGTGGGAGACTGCTTGCATTCAATTAGATTGTGCGTGTCGTGATAACGGGTGCGACCTTCCTTCGTCTCGGGAGTTGTAGCATTAGTGAATGCAGGCTTCAAGGCGGTCTTGTGAAAGCCTCGGGCTTGAACCATCGCGACGCGTGCGGTAGAGGAGAACATGTTTGTAGGATTACTTGAGGCGATTTTTCAGAGCTTTCGCAATGTCGGAGCGTGAAAGGGGATTATATGATCAAACATGTGTTGTTGTATTTACGTGCAAAAGCCGAAATATGCTTGTGAATACACAATCGAGGGTGTTTCTTATCAACGTAACCATGGGTCGGCGGGAGTCGACCGACCCAACCCAATGATATGACGCTGCATATCGCCAGAAGTTGTAGACAGAAGCTGCATAAACAGAACCCTTTCCCAACGCTAGACTGAGAGATGTATGGGGCTGAAGTAAGAGTGTCGGAAGGGAGGTAGTGCGTCTGGGAGTCCTGGAATGCAAGACCTACAAATAATTGGACGTCGACATTTGCAGAAGTCGCCTCGTAGTTCAGCCTGACGCCATGTTCGGTAGACAGTAGGCAATGGAGGAAACCTTCCAAATACCGTTTTCCAGCACATCTCGCATGCATATTGTGCTCGATCGATGGGGAGTTCTACGATTATGTATGAGCACCAGCACTGGAAACATACGGTGCGCATGCATTTCATGCAAGATTTGACGTCGCTCAAACCACCGAGAGCATCGCAGATGGCCGACTTCCAGTTATTGGATATCCTGGGAGTAGCATCTATAGTCTTCTTGCGAAGTGGTTTTTCGCAAGTGGTCAATCTTACCAAGCAGATTGCGCAGGGTCGGCAAGCCGTGCTTCGGGTAGTCTGCTAACGGACTCTTGTCACAACTACAGGGTCTGGAGACTAGTTGAAACGGATACAGGTCTTCCCGCTTAGGTAGAGCGGGCGCATTTGGTCCTTTCATGATGAGTCGAAAGTCTGAGCTGCTGATTGCAAGTGCTTGAAAGTCAGCAGGGCGTAGATGGGGAAATAGCGCCTCGAGGATAGGGTATTGGTGAACAGCGTCAAGGAGGTTGGCCATTCTGTCCGTCGTGGAGAAGGGGCTGGTGGAAGAGTTCAATACAAACTACATGCTGACGATCCGTTAAATAATGTTGAACAAGTCATTCAGTGGTTTCAGTGGCTCCCGCAATATGTGACCATGGTACGCGCTGTTGTGCTCGTTGCTGCCTATGCAAGTCCAAGGTTGCGACATGGCTACGTAGGTAGAGTGGCTCTGTGTACTCAGGTACTGAGGTCAAACCAGGGTGAGACGGGTGGCGCAGTAGTAGCAGGAAGATGTATCGAAAAATATGGTCTTCAGCGCTCAAACGAGAAGCAACAGAGGACCGTGGTATCTGCTAGCGTGATGGTGAAGGGGAAGGGAAGAGGGAAGAGGGAAGAGCAGCGATGCGGAGGGTAGACTGCTCTGATTGGCTCGGCGCACGTGCCATCTGAAGCTCCACCGGAAAGCATCGCGAGCTTCATGTCCAGTTCAAACCAACCCACGTCACGCGCAAGCAACACGTTGCTTCCTCTCGCTCACCTAACCCGCAATTATCCACCTCGAGTCTCACCGGTCGAAGAGATCTGTCCGAGTCTCTACAACTTCGCGACATAAGCCCGCAGCAAGTCGCAACCTTTTTCATAAGACACGATACCGCGAAACATTACGCAAGCATCCTTCGGTCCCTCGCAGAAAACTTTGAAGAAAACGGCCTAGGCGCGCTCACGTACCGGCTGAGTAACGCACTTCCACCAAATATCCGAATCAGCGGTTTTTGAAACAGCATTCTCCCAATGGCACTAAACGCCTACCTAAACAGTAAGTCTCGCCTCTACAGCTCCTTGCCATGTCATTCTCCTAACAATTTCTAGAGCGGGTATCAGTTCTCACCCTCGATGGCCGTACCATGGTCGGGCTCCTCCACTCGTGTGACGGTAGCATGAACCTCGTCCTCCAAGAAGCCGTCGAGCGCATCATCCGACCGATAGAAGACGAAGAACCCAGTGAAGAGGTGCCTCTTGGACTATACATCATACGGGGTGATAGCGTGGCAGTGGTGGGTAGAGTGGATGAGGAGATTGACACGAAGATTGATTGGGGCAAGGTGCATGGCGAGGTGCTGGGCGGGACGAGACATACCTGAGCGGGCGGGACGCAGCGATACGGGAACGGAAGATGTCACGCGAAAAATGCATACGCAAGGAACCAAGGGAGCTCAAGGATAGCGCCCAGAGCGACGAATCTCCGCGGTTTGGGACGACATCGGCACCAGAAGAAACTGGGGGCATAATGCATGACGGGCGCTATTTGGATTGGATAAAGACAATATGCATACAAGGAGGAAACGATACCCACGAAAGCGCAAATATAACGCTGAGTATGTCATCTCAGATAAACATTTCATGCACCTGTACTGACCTTGCAGAATATGAAATGCATTTGCTTGTATATACGTCAATGTCGCAGAATCGACAGACCGTAGCATACCCATGCTACTTGATATTGACGCCTTGCCATGCGCCATGCCTATGTGAAGTTCCTTCAATGCGACTACTCGTAGCCCGATGCAACCACCCTGCTCACTGTATACTCCTTCCCACGCCCTGTCCAATCCCCACAATATTCTTATGATCGTTAGGGTTTGCAGCAGCTTCGTACAGCACAGAAACAGCCTCCTTGTTCAGCTTCATAAAGTCTCCCTTGAACGCCAGATAGCTTATTCGTGTCTCGTCCTCCTCGCCATTACTCCAGTTATCCTCAAAGAACAGGCTCAGACTACGTGTAGTGCCGAACTTTGCCCTTTTGACGGGTATCTCCTGCACCTCGCTCGTCTGACTGATCTCGAGTATCTGTGTAGATTCCTTCTCGGCGGCCGTTTCGAAATCGAGCGAGTCTTCGTTGACAAAGACTTTGAGAGTTTTGGGACAGTCGGGGCCGGGGCTTGTACGCAGGATGATGGAGTGTAGGCGGACTTGGCCGGTGAAGGGGACCGTCATGAGGATCTGTTCGTCGGCGCTGCTCTTTAGCTCGGGTTCCGGGTCGAGACGCTGCGCCCAGGTCTTCTGGCAGATTGCGCGGCCGCTGTTGGACTCATCTTCGTTGAGGGTGACGAGTTTGGGGAAGTCGAGTTGTTCGTAGAGTATGTTTTGTAGCGCGGGCGTGATGTCGTCGCTGTGGTCGTGGCCGTCGCCATGCGAGTGGTCGTGATGCTCGTCGTGACAGTGTGAGTGCGACATGTTTGCTGGGGATGTCGGGTGTGTTTGCTCGGTAAGGCTGATGGTGGTGGGGTGATGGCGGGGTAGCTTTGAGCTTCGTGCAGGGAGC